TAGCCTTAGCTTGTTTTTCCTGCATCTCTAAACCTCAGTCTCCCTCAGCTGTAAAATGGGCACTCTAATGCTCCATAGGAAGTTGTCAGTTTTAAATGAGGCCATGTACATAACAGCCTCAAAGAGAACTCAGTAAGTACTGGTTCTTTATCTTCAGTACGTAAACATAGGTTTTGATATTTATGTGCCACCATATCAAAAATCCTTCTGGTGTGGTGACAGGAATGGCACTTCAACCATAACTGTGCGTCCGAAGGGCCATGCTTAACTTATGAGTCTTTAGGAAGATTCCAACATAACGTGAGTCAAGTTCATACAGACCCTCTGTTCAGCTATGTTCTCTTTATTTGTTTATTCAATGATGCAATAAATAAGATACTGATCACATATCATGTACTGGGTATGCTCCAGGGGCTGGTATACAGCTAGGAACATGACAATCAACATCCCTGCTACCGCAGAGTTTATAGCAGAAGTGGAAGTCAGAAAATAAAACACTAATATGACGTCATCCTGGCTGGTGTGGCTTAGTGGATTGAGCACCAGACTGTGAAGCAAAAGCTCGCCAGTTCAATTCCCAGTCAGGGCACAGGCCTGGGTTGCGGGCCAGGTCCCCAGCAGGGGGTGCTCAAGGGGCAACCACACATTGATGTTTTCCTCCCCTGATTTCGCTCTCCCTTCCCTTCCCTCTAAAAATAAATAAAAACAAAGAAACAAAAACCATTAATATGACGTCAAGTGCTATGAAGAAGATGAGAGCTGGTTCAGTGAACAGAGGGGGCGTGGGAGGACTGGATTAGAGAAAACAAGACTTCTCCAAGGAGGTATCAGAGCATGACCCGACTAAAGCGAAGAAGTAAGCCTCGTGGTGATCAAGGGGAAGAGCATTCCAGGAGAGGGAACAGCAAGTGCAAAGGCTCAGAGGTGGAAGAAACTGTGTTTGAGGGATTAGAAATTAAACCTGTAAAGGGCTGGGGGCGAGCAGAAACAGGTTCAGTCAAGTAGTTGAGTGCCAAGTGATCTAAGGTCTTACCACGGTGAAGCCTTCATCTGTCTAAGCCCCCAGCATTCTGCAGACGGGCCACAGCAGAGCACAGGCGGATGTTGGTGGGAGCGGCAGAAGCACGGGAGTTCTAGGGGCGCAGGGATAACTGCAGGAGCAAAACGTCTGAGTAGGCGAGAGGTGCTGGAGTCTAGGGTCCACCCTCGCGAAGGACCAGAGAAGGTGCGTTATGGAAATGGGGGAGGAAGCCAAGCACTCAGGTATGATGCAGATATATCGGTGGATTTGGCAATGAGAAGGGGAGCTGATTTTCTCCTTATGGTTTTGTCGCTGTTGTTGTTTTGTTTTGTTTTTGTCAGAGAGATAAGGAGGTCATCGACAAAGAGTGAGGAGCTGAAGGCAGAAGGCAGGAGAAGCTATGAGTGGGCGAGTGAGAGTGAATAGGGAAACAGGTGCTGTAGGACCGTCCTAGAGTAGGAAGGGCCCACTTCAGCCAGAAAGGCTCTGTATCTTTCTCTGGGTCAAGTCCATTGCTGGGCACATGCGTGGAACAGGCAGTGAGTCGGGGTTAAGCACAGCTGAGAGTTTCCAGGAGAGTAGATGGAGAGAGAAGCGGGGGGTGGAGGTGGGGGAAGTAGGCAAACCCAGGGAGTGAGTATAGCAAAGACCGGGGTTCTAGGCTGGGGGAGGAGGGAAGTGAGGCCACAAAGCGGGTGACAAACTATACAAATGTGGAAGGTCAGCGGATTAGAGAACTGGGAGGGGTATTTCGATACACTCCAGTTTCAGATGTGATTTTAGAGGAACTCAGAATATTATAGACAATTCATTCACACTGTGAGTCCTTATTGAAGTCCTACTGTAACTTTTAAGACTACTTACGATTTATTGAGCACTTTATTATGTGCCAGGCATTGTGCTAAGTGTGCATTTACTGTATCTCATTTAATTCTTACAACAATGCCATAAGGTTGGCACTGTTCATATTATCCCCATTGTACAGATGAGGAGACTGAGGTTCAGAGGAGAGACCTAGTAACTTCCACAAGAATGCACACACAGCTGGAAAGTAACAGAGCTCTGTGTGACTGTAAAGCCCAGGGAACTGAGCTGGTATGCTCTGTTATGTGCTGGGCTGGGTTCCTGTAATCACAACATTCAGATTCCGGTAATTCGCTGCTTGATCTCAGCCTGAACACAGGGCACCCGGCCTCGGGTGTCCAGGAGTAGAAGCTGGGGGTGGAGGTGGAAGAGTCTGGAATTCTTCCCTTGTGTGCAGTCTTGATGGAGCTGTCAATCAAGCTGCTCACCCCCCTCAGCTAAGGGGAGGACATGGTACCCGAGCTCAGCCAACTGGACTCTCGCTCCAGAGACTTCAACATCGATCAAAAAAAAAAATCAATAAAGGGGAGAAAAAGATGCAACTGATCCACTCTGGCCATCTAAACACCCAAAGCATCTCCAGCCTCTGTTCTTTCCCAAGCCCAGTTCTCCAGCTTCCTGCTGCCTCTGTGAAGTCACCACCCGCCTGCCAATAAACTCCTCTCCTGCTAAAGTTAGCCAGAATCGGTTCCTGACTTGCAGTGAAAGAATCTGCTCCGGCACATCAGAAACAAACAATCAAAAAGTCAAAGTATTGTAAAGCTAAAGTGAATGAGTCATTCCTTGGATAAGTATGCGCCGAGCAGGGCCAGGACTAGGAGAGGCAAGTGAGGCCCCACGGGCACAAAATTTAGGGAAGCTTTCACTCTCAGGGTTGTGGAAGGGCGGGGCTGGCTCTAACAAGCAGATCCCGCCCCTCCACCCCGCCCTGAGAAGCGAGTGGCTTAGAGAACAAAGATGACCTCTCGTTCACAGAAGAGAGTGAAGTGTTCCATGCATCATTCTGGGACGCTGGCACCTTGGATGCTGTGGCGCTGCCATCCCCCAGCACATCCTTGTCGTGGTAAGGTCAAAGCGGGCCCGGTCAATGAGCAGGTGATAGACCAGGGAGGAGGCAGCCACTGACTGGAGGCCTTGTCTGAAGGTTCACACACGTGGCCACGGGCAAGGACTTAGTAACCCGCCAGGTTAGCCGGGCAGCCTTGTGACTGTGGAAGGCAGGGAGAAGCAGCTTTGGTGGACAGCTAGCAGTTTCCACTGCAGTCACTGCCCACAGGGAACCTATTTTCAGGCAGACTCTATTCTCAGTAATATTAAAGGCTGAACGTATAAGCCCCACGGTGGCTCAGGGAGGGAGGGGCGTTCATGGGTTAGCGTAATGTGGGAGAATGTGGGTGAGGAGTGACACCAGGGGCTGGGTAAAGATACGGCAAACGTGGCCTGTCCTGCCAGGGGACAGCGGGAAGATCAGCTGGCCAGTGGTGTCCATCCTCTTGGCATCTCTGTGCCACATTGGAAGAAGAAGAGTTGTCTTGGGTCACACGTTAAATACACAAACACTCACAACAACTGATGAGCAAAAATTTAAAAAAAGGCTTTAAGTAAATTCATGATTTTGTGTGGGGCCGCATTCATAGCCACCCTGGGCCGTGGGTTGGACACTAGACCAAGGTGGAGATCTCGTGTAACCTCACGATGCAATGTGGGAGATAGAGGATGAAATCCAGGGTGATAGCTGAACACGACTTCTGGTTCCTGCGTTAACCTCAGGCGAATCCTCAACCTTGACATGCGTTAGATTGCTCCTTCGTAAAATGATAAGGACAATAACGGCGCCATCAACAATAATAATACATTAATAAAGTATGAATGATAATGATGGGGGTGTGAGGATCCCACAAAGCAATGGCCTATGAAAGGCTTCAACGCCCAGCAAAGTGTAGACCAGCGTCGGGCAACCTACTGCCACAGGTCACTGTCTATTTTGTAAGTAAAGTTGCAGTAGGACACAGGCACAGTCATGGTCACGTATTGTCTGTGCTGCTCTTGCACTACAACGGCCAAGTTGAGTGGTTGTGACAGAGGCTGACCATAAGGCCAAAAGTATTTCCTCTCTGGACCTTTCTGGAAACTTTGCTGATGACTTCTGCACAGACTGCAGTGATGTCAGCTATTACTAAACCTTCCCTGAGCATCATTTTATTCATCATCATCTGCAATTCGGAGGTTTTCTGAGAACCGAAGGAGACAACGTATGTGAAACCGCTTTACATACAAACGGCAGGGGTTATCCAGTCTTTTTGCTGAGTATCAGTTTCATTACTTAGCCTCTGCTGAGCATCTGTGAAACGGACAACGAAATGCCTGCCTCCAGGAGTTGTTGCAGGGATCTGTGAGACAGAACGATTAAAGATAAACTTTGGCACAAGCTGGTGCCTTGCTCTGCCTATTACTTGCTGTATGATCTTTGGTCCGCTTGGAGCGCCCGTTTCCTTATCCGTGACAAGGGGGATCAGTATTTTACCTACCTCAGAGTATAAAGGAAGATGATAGATAGCACCAGTGAGGCCCTGGCGCCCTGCCGGCCTTGTTCCCATCGCAGTTGCCGTGACAAATGCCACCGCCCACGGGTCTCTATCAACAGTACAGCTGAGCTGTACCCCTCTGCCTCTGCTCAGCGCCCACGGTCAGCCCTGGGTGCCGATATAATTAGCTCCATCTCGGTGGTGAGCATGCTCACAGCCTCTGACACGACTGTCACCTCCCACTCAGTTGTCCCCGCTGCTGGGCACAGGTCGGAGTGCCGCCAGAGGACAAGCTTAGCCCTCAAAACCTCTGATTTGTCACAAGGAATCAAAGCCCTTTTTTCCGCTTCCGGGCTGTGCCAAATGAAAAGTTTGAATTAAAAAAAAAAATGCCGCCTCTTGCATTTGCTGAGAAATCCGTTTCTCCTGATCCATAACCCGCGGGGGAGGAGGCAGGCTGTTTCTTTAAGAGGCCTCCGCGAGCCGGGTGGGAACCGCCGGCGTTTCCCGCGACAGCTGGGCCCACCCTCTCTTGAGTGACAGGCAAATAGCCTAATTGAAGAAGGAGAGTTCAGCGTGACGGCGAAACGGAGCAATAGAAGCCGGTGTTAGTGTGCGCGGGGCGGGGTCCCTGGAAGGCCGGGCGGGCGGAGGCTCGGGAAGCAGCCGCGGCAGACCCCGGCGCGGGAGCTGGGCCTTGGTCCGCACCCTGGTGAGTGAGGGGCGCGCTGGGGGCCGGGTAGGGGCGGGCCTCGGAGAAAGGCCTCGCCCGAGGGACACAGCGAGGACAGGCGAAGCCGGGCTGGGAAGGGGGCCGGGGTCTGCTTTGCGCTTCTGCCGTGAGGGCTAAGGTGCTGGAGAAGGCGGGCCCGGGCTGCACCCCACGGGCTCGGCAGGCCCCCGAGGGGTCGCAGCCCAGTTGGGTCCTCCCGGCCCGACGGGGCACCTCACCGGAAAGGGTTGTCGGGTGGGAAAGAGGGCGGGCCTGGCCTCCAGGAGCAGGGGCTGGGTCGGAGGGAGGACGATCGGGGGATGGAGCCCGGGGACGCGACGGAAAGATGCGGAGCGTGGAGACGGGAGCACAAGATGGGAGAGGGCTCAGAAGGAGCCGGGAGTGTTTGGGTCTGGGTGGCACATCTTCGAAGCCCTGGAGTCTTTTTCGACATCGCCACCCCGCCACACACATACACACACACGCACACACGCACACACACGCACAGACACTGCTCCTCACTCTGCGCCGTCGATCCGGCCGGCTCTGTAGCCCGCAGTCCATGCATGCACTTTTCCATCTCCGTCCTCTCTCTCGTTTCTGGCCTCTCTCGCCTCTTGTCTGGACTGTGCCACTGCCCTAACTAATCCACCCACGTGCACTCGGCCGCTCTCCTGTGGGCCTCGCACCGTGGCCAGAGGGATCTTTTCCAAATGCAGATAAGATCCAGCCACTCCGCTACCTAAAACTGGCGGACTTCCCACGTCTTGTAGGGCCGGCCTCAGATCCTCACCCAAGCCCTGGAGATCTGGCCCCTCTGGCCTCCCCGCCTCCTCTCAGTCTGCGAATCCTTCTTACTCAACACTACTCACACCACAAGCACCTCTGGCGCTTCTCGCGGCCTTTACCCTTAGAATTCCTTCTCCCTGGACTTGTCTTGCCGTCTGACTTGGTCCAGTAAACTCTTCATCCTTCAAATCTCCACTCAAGTATCACTTCCTCCAGAGGCATCCGTGGTCTCTGACACCCCCACCAAGTGAATTCCCCACTCTCATCACTCTGGGTACTTCTCCTTCTCTAACCCTTGCACAGCTGCAGTTCTACACTAAGGTAGTGCAGTGTTGATGCCTGCCTATCCCACCAGGCAGCGAGGCCACCAGGAAGAAGAGAGTGTCTGCTTTTGCTCCTTGTATCTCCAGCATCTCCCACGAGTCCCGGCACTGTAAATATGTATTTAAAAAATGAATGAAGGGCTTGGCTTCGGGCAGGAGGAAGGGTGTGGTCCTTGAGGTGCTACCAGTGGTAGAAGGAAACCAGCACTGGGATACTTTCCACGTGCCAGGCCCTGTGTCACAGCAGTGCCATCCAGTAGGAGTTCAGTGCAGTAAATGTAACTTTAAAACTTCTAGCCCTGGCTGGTGTGGCTCAGTGGATTGAGCTCCGGCCCATGAAACAAAGGGTGGCCAGTTCAATTCCCAGTCAGGGTTGAAGTTCCCTGAGGAACTTCAGGGTTGAGGGTTCCCTGCCTGGGTTGCGGGCCAGGTCCCAGTAGGGGGTATGCAAGAGGCAAGTACACATTTTTGTTTTTCTCCTTCTCCTTCTTCTTTCTTTTCCCTCTTTCTAAAAATAAACAATCTTCAAAAAAAAAACTTTTAGTAGCCACATTAAAAAGAAACAGACGAAATTAATCTTTGTAATATGTATTTACTTAATATATTCCAAAATGTTATTTTGACATGTAATCAATATAAAAATGTTATTAAGGAGATATTTTTTGTGTGTGTGCTCAGTCTTTGAAATCCGGTGTGTGTCTTACACTTACAGCCCATGTCAGCCCGTGGTAACCATACTTCAAATGCTCGGGAGCCACGCGTGCTAGGGGCTGCTGTGTTGGGCTGTGCAGTGCGAGGAGCTTTACGTGCCTGTGGCATTTAATCCTCTTTCGAGTCTTTTGAGGTCATTATTATTATTATCTGCACTTTACCAGTAAAAATAATGAAGCTCCTGAAAGTTCCGTTGCCAGCTAGCAATCATCCTAGAGTTTGTGGGTGGAGGAGGCAAGATTAGGACCCGGACCCCCATCTGCTAATGTGGAGTCTTTCTATACCATATCCTGCCTCTAGGAGGTGCCAGGGAGTTTTGGGGGTCCAGGAAGTGGGGACTCTGCTTGTTGAAAGCAGTGGTTCCTGTGGGTACATTGCATATTCTGTCTCGTTCCACGCAGAGATAATACGTCTGGACACCTCAGTACGACCTGCCTAGGTGGCTCAGAAACAAGTCCTTCTTCCACCCCGTCACCATACCTCAGCGCAGCCTACCCAGGGCAGCCTGGTCCGAGGATCTGGGTGGAAAAAGTACATGCACCCTGCAGCACCTCAGAGGTGCTGGGAGTGCCCGGCTGGTGTTAACAGGCTGGCTTTTCAGTTCAGTTCAGTGACTTCCCACTGGGCGTGGCCCTCACTGTGGGGAGGCCGGCGCTGTTCTAGGCCACTTAGGGTGACTGGGGCATATAAGTCACAGTCTTCATCCTCAGGATGCTTGTTGTTGTGGACTTGGAAAGACAAGATTGGAACACGGGATGCTTAGATGATGTGCAAGACACCGTGTGGCGTGATGAAGAACCGAATCAGTGGTGTGCGGAGGCAGCCAAGTGGCTGTCTCAGCTGCGTAAAGTGCACACAAGTGTTTGACTGTAATTCCTTCGGGCAGAGTGGCTACTTTGCAGCTCGCCACAGTCCCTACGCAGGTGCTGCTTGACTTAATTGCGTAGCTGCACAGCTGGTTTTTGTATTTGTAAGGTGTTTGCATTTGTATCCCCATTAGACGCGCTGGTTTCAAGTTGCTGGGAGAGATTTGTTGAGCACCTATTATGTGCCATTACATTGGCCACAGCTCTGGAACTGGCTATTACAAAACTCTCCAAGGTTATTCTGCCAGAAGAAAATAATAATAATAGTAATAGTAATAATAATAATAACACCACTACCAGCAGTGCTTTGCCTTTTCGGTCGATTTACTTCCCCTTCACGTAGGTCCTTTCACTCTGTCATCATTGTGCTTCAGCCTGGCGAGTGGGGCTCTTTCATGCTGGGAAAACACGGTTACAGTGTCTGTGCAACGTCTTCAAGTCCACACAGTTGGAATTCTGCTCACTCCATGTCAGGTACTATGCTTACATGGTTGACATGTATTATCCCACTTAATGTTTACAACGACTCTATAAGAGTAGGGTTGATTCTAATTCCCGTTACAGGCCAGGAAATTGTGAGAGCTGGGAGCGACTCGAGATTTGTCCCTCTCCAGAACACTTGTTCCTAATTGTTAAGCTACACTATCTCACTAGAAGGTCAAGGTTGGAGGAGACCTCAGAAACATCTAGTCTGACCCCCGCATGTAGATCGGGGCCAAAGGTACAGAGGGCCTTGTGCTTGCGGGCAGTCGGGCCCCTGCGCCCAGGCCGACGGGCGAACCCAGAAGTGGGGGCCTGCTCCGTCTTTTGTCCCTCACTGGTGGTGTGTGGCCTTGCCAGCTTCTCTGGACCGCGGCTGTCCTATTCACGCAGGGGCAGGGCTTGGCCTGGTTCTACAGAACACAGTGCCGTGTTGTTACGGGCGGAGTCAAAGGGGTCAGGCCCGCAGCCCAGGGTTTCGGTCGTGAACCAGGACCCTTCGCTCGCCACACCGCCTCCCACACAGCTCTGCCTCCCCTCCCTGTTGCGAGCATGGGAGGCTCTTGAAGGGCGACGTTCTCTTAAAGTTCATCTCTATTTTCCATCTGAGTTTCTGTTTCCTTTGATTCCCAAAAACTTAAGCAAGAGATCTGTAAACACTGCCCCTTCTAAATCCATTTCCTCTATCACAGTCAGGAATTTGCGAAGTTCTAGGCAATGGATGGTCCTCTGTCATTAGTGTTTTGTTTTTTTTTTCTATTCAAAAAGCAGTTAGATCTGGGGGCATCCTGGAGGGTATTTTGGTGTGGAGTTCTGTGGGCACAGCTGTGTCCCGGGCACTGTGCTGCGAATTCGGGGGAGAGCAGGCTGGGGGGTGCACAGGCTGGACGAGCCCCTGTCCTCAGATTGTTGACCGCGCTGGAGCTGCGGCCGTCAGCCCCGGCCGCCCACGAGAATCCTGGGAGGGCTTTTCAGCGACAGCGGGCTGTGCGTTGGTGATGCACAGCCGGGGCTGAGAACCACAGGTCTAGAGCTGCTTCTCAGACTTGGGGGTGCACGTGAACCACCCCAGGGGACCTTGTTTGAAGGCAGATTCTGATTCAGTGGGTGATTCCGCCTTCCTGCGGGCTCCCGGCAGCGGCGGGGCTGCCAGCGTGCGGATCCCACTCCGAGCAGCCAGAGAAGACGCTGCCCGGGGAGAACTTTCCATCCGTGGGATCGTGAAGGTGTGTGCGAATGACCGGGTGTGCACACGAGGGCACGTTAACTTTGCCTGAGGCGACAGGACCAGGAAGTCCACTTAAAAGAGTGATTGTCCGAGCTGGACCTTGGAGGATGAGGGAGCGAGTGTCCGCTGAACGTGGTGGAAGGAACAATGGCACGAGCAGAAGTACAGACTTAGAGGAGCATGACGTCCGGGGGAGCAAGGCGACCTGTGGTGATGGTGACGGACACAGCCTCCACCAGGGAGAGCCGGACAGCCACGTGCACCTGGGGTCAGCCCCGTGAGTGCTCCGCAGAGGAGAGGAAGCTCTGTTCCGTGGGCGTGGGAGTGCTGCGGAAGGTTCTGCACGGGATAACAGGAGACCTAGGCAACTCTCCGAGTAGATACTGAGCGGAAGAAGCCACTCCGCCACCCTGTTCCTACACCCTCCCTCGCCACACTTTGGCTCTATCTGATTTGGTGGCTTTTAACCACATGTTTGAGTGAGTCCTGTGTCCAGGAGATTTCAACAAAAAGGAGAAACCTCAGCTGCCTTTGGTATGATGGTCCTTCTCAGCCTCGGTAGCAGTGAATGTCAGAACGTGAGTCCGTGACGGCCGAACTCCC